TTTTTTTTCATACAAATTTTTATTCTTAGGTAAATATGAAGACACATTTTTTGAAGATATTAATTAATTTTATTTATGTTATACCTTATACAACTTGAAAAATATTGAAGTTTCCTGCAATAAATTGAATTATTTTAATTAAAATCAGAAATAAATTCTATTAAGACCTTAATTTTGGCATACAAAAGGCAGGAAATGCCTGTAAATCATCTATGACCATTGTAAAAGACGGACCCAGTTTTTAGACTAAAATTTTCGTAAAAGGTTGCAAATTCAATATTCGCTAAGTTTTATAGCTACTTCCATCTGACTCTCGAATTAAAAATCTTACATCTCCCTACTTGGTTCTTCAATAATCTCCTTCAATATTTTGAAATTTTCTTCGAATTTCTTGAGCGCTTCTTCGAACTCGCAAATATGCTAGGAAAATTCAACGATGAAAAAACTTCTCACATATGGAAACGATCTCATGGAATTACCTATGGCCAAGTCTTGTCCAATCTTGAATGAAACACTTCTGATTCATATTCTTCGTTTTCAGTTTCATCTAACAAACATGATTCCAATTATCCACGAAATCTCTTCAATGTATTATGCAACGTTGGAATAGAAACGATGTTGATATCACGCATTACGAAAGGTTCATATTTTCATGGTTCCCAGAAAAATTTTAAACTAATTCCGTACAAAATTCCATGATTTTCATAACTTCAGGTGCTAAATTTTTGTTTCCATTGCTGATGAAATGTATAGTTAACTTTTGATAATGTTGACTTTAAATATGTGTAAAGAAATCCCAAATACTAAAATTGAGTAAAATTCTGTTTTATTGAAATATTATATTGTAACAATTCAAAATAATATATTTAATTCATATTTATTTTTAAATCTATACACTCAAAGTAAAGTTTCTGAAATACGTAGTACTTAAATTTAAATATTTAAGCAGCACCAACAGGATCAAATCAAACCATTACGAATATCAAACAACAGATGTCGCGATCTGTACGATTTCAAAATACGTCCATCTATTTTTAAACCAAACTTATAAATAGAATACAGGTCGTGTCTTTCGCAGCATTCACAAAGATTATGATTTTACTTCAAATTATTTTATCTTAGATCATCATTGACGTAATTTCGTTTTTATAGAATCTATTATTTGATTGCATTCCTCCCAAAATTTGGGAGCAATACGCTTTTTTTTCATCTTTTTATATATATTTTTAGAATTGTCACATTTATGAACACTGAATCAATTTCTAAAGTTACATCTCCGCATGGGGCAGACGCATATCCTATAAATAGATGCACGAAGTTTGCTTTACTTTTATCAATTAATTAAATAAACTTAAAAATAATTATTGGATTCATAATTTAAAATTAAAAAATCTAATTATATTTTTTTATTCAATTGCATTGGATTGGTAAACTTTGATGTGATCATTAACATTTTCATGTTCATCTATATTATTTAGCTATTACATAAAGAAATCAGTCTTGTCTCTGCTACCCTGTATGTGCTTAAGCATCACCTCTGCTTTGGATTGTTTTGTTTTTAGGTCTGTATTTCAAATTCACCACCACCGTATTGGATTTATTATATAAAAGTTTGAAAATTATGTAATTGATAATGTGCAGAGGTTGGTACCAATTGATTCATTATGATCTCATTTAATTTCAGAGATCTTGTCACAGATGGAGATATAGATGATAATATAAATCATCATTAGAATGACCATATTTCGTCTTTAATTATGATGATGATTAAAAGATGTCAGACAAAATTGATTTAACATTACGCAACAATTGTTACATCAACAGTTTAGGTAAACATAAAATGTATACAAAGTTTTATAATTTTGAAAGAGTATTGAATATTAAAAAAAAAAATCGTATTGGAATTATGTAGAAAATGTAAATACGGAAATTAAGTTCCAAAAATTGATATTATATAAATATAGGACTTCAATTAATTGAGTCTATTAATCTATAAGCATGTATGTACTATATTTAATTAACAAATTGCTTAATTAATCAATATAAATTGATTAAATTCGTCTTATTTTTTGTTAGAAATTTTAAAAATTCAAATGATAAGATGATTGCGCCATCGGTGGAGAAATAAGAGAATTACATAAGACTTGGTTCCCCTAGTTGGTTGGTAGTGTTTCGATATGTCAGTGTTGTGTTTATCAATTGCACAGCAAATATACAATAAAATTGAATTACTTTATTAAGTCCAATTGAAATTAATAAAGTAAGTATTGATGGAATGTGATGAGAGGCGTTTAAATACGCTGTGAATGTTTGTAGTTATGTCAGATGACGAGCTAACACCACCACCTCCACCATCCATCCGAGGGGCCAACATAGTTGCCTCAGAGGGTGACTGGACCTGCAGTGATTGCGAGAACGTCAACTTCGCCAGGAGGAACGCCTGCAACAGGTGCAGTAGACCGAGAACCCCAATTTTCCAAAGGAAAAAGAAGCTCGGTCAGGAGATAGGTAAACAGGCAGCAGAGAAGAGCAGAGGCCTGTTCAGTGCTGACGACTGGCAGTGTAATAAATGCGGTAACGTTAACTGGGCCAGAAGACAGCAATGCAACGTCTGCAATGCACCAAAATTTGGTGAAGTCGAGGAGAGGACAGGATTTGGTGGAGGTTACAATGACAGAGGTGTTGTGGAGTACAAAGATAGGCAGGAATCAGATGATGAGTATGACGAGTTCGGAAGGCGGAAAAAGAAGAGGGGTGAGGTTGGGTACAGGAGTCCAAGGGAGGAGGTGGAAGAGGATGTAGTAGAGAAAGTCAAAGCGGAGGAGGAAGAAGATGATGATGAAGAGGAGGACGATGATGGGGATTTATCCAAGTATGATTTGAGTGATTGGGGAGATTCTGCACCTAGCAGCCGGAAATCTAAGTCAAGATCTAGATCCAGATCACCATTGGGGAGAAACTGATCAATGGCAAAAGCACAGAAAAGAAACAACTTACAAATCTTTTGTACATAAGCTTCCACTGGTTTTTAAACATTTCATTGTTTATTTTTCATATTATTTTCTGTACGTTATTTTGTAAGCTTACATTTGTACTTAGCAATTGTAAATGAACCAAATATTTGCTAACGAAAAGTTTTTCTAATGAGACAGAGACATATCGAATATATTTATATACAAATATATTGTGGATTTGAGTGAATAGTCCGAGATTGGATTGATCGCAACCGATTTCACCGTAAATAATAGTTATGTTTAGATATTTTTTAATGAACGAGAAGCGGATTCAGAATACGCATGGAACACCATAATAATGATAATAGTTATACAAATAAACATGTGTAATATTTAAAGTTTTGTTGATTTTTAATGGACATTTTTTTTTAATGGGTCGCCCAATTATTGCCAATTCTATGTACATAAGTTACTATGTCGCACGGCAGAAAAATAAAATACGTTTATTTATTATCATTATTAATTGAAATATTTTAGGTGTTTATAATATTAACAAAGAAAAGTTGGAGAAAATATATATATATATTTATTATTTTATGTCTTATTCAAATTTTATAAGAGAAACAGATCATCCTGTATATAGTTTCGTTACATCTTTTTATTTGCTTTCCTATTAAATGAAAATAAAGTATATTTTATTTATAAATTGTTTATTATATGAAACAATCGCAGATTCGTAAACTAGATGAAAGAAATAAAAACTTTACCTAACAAGATTTTCGTTGTCTCCATAACAACGTATTTCATAATTGCTACTTGACATGTATCGTTTCATTAATAGATCCTTGGTAAACATTTGAAATATTCCAAGTGACTTGTCGAGTAAAGTCTATGTATGTCTTTACGTTGTTTGGTAAGTGTAGCAATTAACATACTTAAGATTTGTATAAAGTTAAAATATCTTCAAAGTTAATTGCTGCATTTAAATTTGGATCAAGAAAATATATATATATTATTTTATATCTTATTCAAATTTTATAAGATAAACAGATCATCCTGTATATAGTTTCGTCACATCTTTTTATTTGTTTTCCTATTAAATTAAAATAAAGTATATTTTATTTATAAATTGTTTATTATATTAAACAATCGCAGATTCGTAAACTAGATGAAAGAAATAAAAACTTTACCTTACAAGATTTTCGTTATCTCCATAACAACGTATTTCATAATTGCTACTTGACAAGTATCGTTTTATTAGTATATCCTTGGCAAACAATAGAACTATTCCAAGTGACTTCTCGAGTAAAGTATATGTATGTCTTTACGTTGTTTGGTAAGTGTAGCAATTAACAGACTTAAGATTCGTATAAAGTTCAAATATCTACAAAGTTAATTGCTGCAGTTAAATTAGGATCGAGAAACAGATCATCCTGTATATAGTTTCGTTACATCTTTTTATTTGCTTTCCTATTAAATGAAAATAAATTATATTTTATTTATAAATTGTCTATTATATGAAACAATCGTAGATTCGTAAACTAGATGAATGAAATAAAAACTTTACCTTACAAGATTTTCGTTGTCTCCATAACAACGTATTTCATAATTGCTACTTGACAAGTATCGTTTCATTAGTAGATCCCTAGCAAACAATTGAACTATTCCAAGTGACTTGTCGAGTATAGTCTATGTATGTCTTTACATTGTTTGGTAAGTGTAGCAATTAACAGACTTAAGATTTGTATAAAGTTCAAATATCTACAAAGTTAATTGCTGCAGTTAAATTAGGATCGAGAAACATAAGAGAAACAGATCATCCTGTATATAGTTTCGTCACATCTTTTTATTTGTTTTCCTATTAAATGAAAATAAATATATTTTATTTATAAATTGTTTATTATATGAAACAATCGCAGATTCGTAAACTAGATGAAAGAAATAAAAACTTTACCTTACAAGATTTTCGTTTCTCCATAACAACGTATTTCATAATTGCTACTTGACAAGTATCGTTTCATTAGTAGATCCTTGGCAAACAATTGAACTATTCCAAGTGACTTGTCGAGTAAAGTCTATGTATGTCTTTACGTTGTTTGGTAAGTGTAGCAATTAACAGACTTAAGATTGTATAAAGTTCAAATATCTACAAAGTTAATTGCTGCAGTTAAATTAGGATCGAGAAACATAAGAGAAACAGATCATCCTGTATATAGTTTCGTTACATCTTTTTATTTGCTTTCCTATTAAATGAAAATAAAGTATATTTTATTTATAAATTGTTTATTATATGAAACAATCGCAGATTCGTAAACTAGATGAAAGAAATAAAAACTTTACCTTACAAAGATTTTCGTTGTCTCCATAACAACGTATTTCATAATTGCTACT